AAAGAAATTGTTTTTTCAAAGATAATGGTTGATGAATTAAAAAGGGTATTCTGCGGGGTGACAAGGGGTAATAAGAATATTTCTGCAATTAAAAATATTTAGAAAATCGGGTAATATAGATACTGATAACTCTTATTAAAAATCAAGTGGGGAAAATATGCTGCGGAATCCAAATGAAAAGATGTAATGATTATTATTGTAACTTCTGAAAAATAATGGTTTATTGGGAATCAAGATGAGGGAATAAAGGTGTATTTTAATCATTGAGGTGTCACACTCAAAACAGTAAAAGGGGGGGAACCTATACTTGTTTTGTTTTTTAGTGTTAAAATTTGTATTAATCTAGAATTTATAAAAAGAATGTGTAATGGAAAGGGAATATGACAGACTAAAGAACCAACTAAATTAATAAGTTAATATAGACTATTAAAAGCAAGGAGAGACATAGGTAACATTATTATTATTATTATTATTATTATTATTATTATTATTATTAAGCAAACACATATTGTTTATCTTTATTTTTAAAATAAATATTAAAGGATTATATTTGAAATAATTGAAATGAAACAAAAGGATGTTTCGATTGAGGTTAATGAAAGAGGCTAGAATTAATGTGTTTGTTTCTCTCCTTGCTGAAAATTTGGAATGGAAAAGGTAATAATAGAATTAAGTATGCGTATATGAATGTATAATTGCTGTCATATTTGTATGTAAATGTGATGACCTGGAAATATGTTGTCCACTAAAATGATTTTTTTTTTTAATGTGAAAAACTGAATAAAATTTCTTAAAAAAAAAAACAATATATTTTCAGGTATTTGATGTAACTTTTTCTTTCTCCAACTAATGAGTATAATTGACCCTAAAGCTATTGAATGATAATAGATGCTGGGAGCCAGGGGGGTGGAATTAAGTAATGCATAATCTAACAGCCTAGTTATTTTTTAAAGAGATTGTAAATATTACAACAGAAAATGCTATCCTATTAAGAGCTGCACCACTGGCTGTCATTTGAAAATAGAAGATCTGTGCAAAGCTTTGAAAGGAGTGCTTTGCTTTAATCAAGTTTAATTCAAAACAGATATTCAAAGTTGTGTCACAAAGAATCTCCTTTTCTATTTCCAAAAAGAAACAATTGCAGTTCTACTGCCCAGAAGGCACTTCTATAAAGGGACTGTACACACGCATAAGTCTATTGACAGTAAAACTGTTGAATTAAACCTTAAGGCAATGCAGACTAGCTCCATCAAGCAAATCACAGGAATGCTATGGTCCAAAATAATTTTCTGAAACAAAAGCAACCATCCCACACTTCCCTAGAATAGCCTTTTATAAAATTATATTTAAGGGTTGTGCAGTCTACCTGAATAAAATAATTGAAACTATGGTATCCTGACCAATCCCCACGGTCAACTCTTCTTGTATTTCTCCATTTCTTAAATAGGGAAAGGAAAGCTATGATCTTCCAATATGGCTAAATACAACTCCCAGCAGCCTTCTCCTTTCAAATCATAGTCAATAGTTAGTTACATATCTAAAACTGTAGGTTGATAATCTCTAGAAGTTTTATATACCTAATTTACACATTTTGAGGAGACCACTTATATATTCCACTTACTCATCCACTATAAATAGAAGTATGTTTCAACTGGTATGTTTAAAGCTTAAATAGTTGATGTTCCAGAGTGCATCGGTTTCCTATATTGGGAGCAGACCTTACCAAGAAGACAAAAAGGATCGTAACTCTTTTGTTTTATATAGCTTTTAGTACCTGCAGTGGAAGCTCTCTAGTGGAATATGAGCACACTTATAAAGTATAGGGAGACTTATTTCACTTGTAAGATGAAAGCAGAAAAGTTTAGAAGAGATTCTATCAATGTGCTCAGCAGTTTTTTATTCAGCAGAAAAAAGTGATGTAAAATTAAAATTCAGTGGTAGCATTTTAAAAAAAGCTTTACAGCCTAAGGCACAGCATTATGGAATGAACGATCAGTACTTCAAATGAAAGGTTTACATATGGTTTTATCTCTTTTTTTTTGCAAAACATGCTTTTCTTGATGTATTATATTCATAAGAACTTAACAGAGCAGGCAGATATATTCTATTATTACTGCACTTTTAAGGATAGTTATAATGTATCAATTAAGGGCATTGCTTAACAATCTATTATATTAAGGAAAACTTTATGCAGAAATGCTCTCATTGGAATGTGTACTCCAAACCAGTGCGTTAGGGAAAATATGTATGAACTATCTATGTATATGTAAAGAAATTTGCAACATAACTATATCAATTTTCCTGTAAACTTTTCAAGGGGCAGGGGAGAAAAAAATTATGAAAATGGGAAAACAAAGCACCCCCCCCCCAAAAAAATCTTAAAGATATAAAAGTGAGAACTAACCTACATTTTCCCTAACCTACATTTTCCATTTTGTGATACACTATATCATAAAAACTTGAAGTCCCCTAGTTGCTTAGCTCATTCTGGCATTTTCTGTACACATGGAAAAATTAATAGCACATCCAATTGTGCAGAAAACTAAAGCCAAGTAAAACTAGTAAGAACTATCGATCCACTTAAAATCTTCTAACTGTATCTAAACTAAGAGATCCCAGAGGATATGTAGGAAAATCAGGTATCCTTAGTGTATAACTTTAAGGCAGTAAAAGTTTGTTCTGACAATAAATTTTACACTATTCCAAAAACATCTAAAATTCTGAAGAAACCCTTCGTACCATCAGAATCATTTAATCAATGTCATATTAAAATACAAAAATCCTGTTCTCTTGCCACTCTGTGTAAAGGTAAGTTTAAATAACTGTGTAGCCTACAATCTCAGGCTGTTTGAGGGACAGCCTGAAGATTTGTCAGATTATACTATTCAATGTCACCAATAGTTATGTACACAAAGGAAGAAATCCAATACTGGATACCCCTTCTCCCATTTTCTCACCAGCTAGCTGATTTCAAAGCCACAATTTCTTAATTTTGGAAAGTCCTGAAATGTGCATTAGGGCTTGAGCTGGACACAGCTGAGGAACAGCTGACTGGGACCTTAATGGTTGTCCAGAACCTGACACTTAGTGCAGGAAGCCAGGACTCTGAAAGAATTGGGCTGACCCACAAGTTGTGAGAGCTCCATCACTGGAAGCTTTCAAGAACAGACTGTATTGCCATCTGCCAGAAATGGTGTAGGGTCTCCTGCTTGGATGGGTGGTGTTGTTGTTGGACTAGATGATTACAAAGGACTACAAGGTCCTTTCTCACTCTGTTAATTTCGTTTTTTTAAAAACCCATGAGGACATCTTATGAGTTTGAAGAATATGTGAAAATAATTCCTCGCCCTCTCAGGTGAACCTGGGTGAAACCCAAATAACAATAAAATATATTTTAGTCCATGGAATATTGGCAAGAAGGCACTCATAAAAATTTTAGTATCATGTACCAGTCAAATAAGTTTTCCAAAAGATATGGCTATTTTCCTATCAGTTAAATACTTGCAACTTTTATATTTCATTAATTGATATTTATTAGGTCTACCAAGTGTGGATAACAAAAATCCCCATGAGCATTAAAATGTAGCAGATAATTCATGTTTTCTGTATCACTTTGCCACCACTATTCATCTTCTGAAGTTGTTCATCCCAGATCAGGTTGTCCTAACATTCATTTACTTTTCATAATGCTATGAAATATGCAGCTTTATTTTTTATTTGGGCTAGTGGAAGGTTAGTCAGCCTGGACTATGGGCAGTATAAAATGTTTCATGTAGAAATGTTATTCACTTTTTTGCTAGTTTAATGAACACTGGTGGAACAACAGAGAATGTTGTCCAAAGACAAAGTTATCTTGGGAAAATGCAATTCAGAAAGAGAAAGAAATGTCAATTTTCTGTTGTTTCCAATTCTTCAGTCTCAGATAGAATCTGAAGAGTGCACATTCAATGGGAAGAACATATGGCAGAAAAAAGATGAATAATAAAAATAAAAAAGTCCCAAGAGAATAATATATTTATACAGGTAAAACTCAAAAAATTAGAATATCATGCAAAAGTTCATTTATTTCAGTAATGCCACTTAAAAGGTGAACCTAATATATGAGATAGACTCATTACATGCAAAGCAAGATAGTTCAAGTCATGATGTGTCATAATTGAGATGATTATGGCTTACAGCTCATGAAAACTCCAAATCCACAATCTCAGAAAATTAGAATATTGTGAAAAGGGTCAATACTCTAGGCTCAAAATGTCCCACTCTAATCAGCTAATTAAGCCATAACATCTGCAAAGAGTTCCTGAGCCTTTAAATGATCTCTCAGTCTGGTTCAGTAGGAAGCACAATCATGGGAAATACTGCTGACCCTGACAGTTGTGCAGAAAACCATCACTGACATTGTTCCCAAAGTGCTGTATCAAAGCACATTAATAGAAAGTTATGTGGAAGGGAAAAGTGTGGAAGAAAAAGGTACACAAGCAGCAGGGATGACCGCAGCCTGGAGAGGATTGTCAGGAAAAGGCCATTCAAGTGTTGGGGTCTTTCACAAGGAATGGACTGAGGCTGGAGTCAGTGCATCAAGAGCCACCACACATTGACGGATCCTGGACATGGGCTTCAAATGTTGTATTCCTCTCGTCAAGCCACTCCTGAACAACAAACAACATCAGAAGCGTCTTACCTGGGCTAAAGAAAAACAGAACTGGTCTGTTGCTCAGTGGTCCACAGTCCTCTTTTCTGATGAGAGCAACTTTTGCATCTCATTTGGAAACCAAGGACCCAGAGTCTGGAGGAAGAATGGAGAGGCATACACTGCAAGATGCTTGAAGTCCAGTATGAAGTTTCCACAGTCTGTGTTGATGATGTCATCTGCTGGTGTTGCTCTACTGTGCTTCATTAAGTCCAGGGTCAACGCAGCTGTCTACCAGGAGATTTTGGAGCACTTCATGCTTCCTTCCGCAGATGAGCTTTATGGGGATGCTGACTTCATTTTCCAGCAGGACTTGGCATCTGCCCACACTGCCAAAAGCACCAAAACCTGGTTCAATGACCGTGGGATTACTGTGCTTGATTGGCCAGCGAACTTGCCTGACCTGAACCCATAGAGAATCTGTGGGGCATTGCCAAAAGAAAGATGAGAGACATGAGACCGAACAATGCAGAAGAGCTGAAGGCCGCTATTGAAGCATCCTGGTCTTCCATAACACCTCAGCAGTGCCACAGGCTGATAGCTTCCATGCCACACCGCATTGAGGCAGTAATTGCTGTAAAAGGGGCCCAAACCAAGTATTGAGTACATATGCATGCTTATACTTGTCAGAGGTCCGATATTGTTCTATGTACAATTCTTGTTTTATTGATTGCATGTAATATTCTAATTTTCTGAGATTGTGGATTTGGGGTTTTCATGAGCTGTAAGCCATAATCATCACAATTATGACAAATCATGGCTTGAACTATCTTGCTTTGCATGTAATGGGTCTATCTCAAATATTAGTTTCATCTTTTAAGTTGCATTACTTAAATAAATGAACTTTTGCACGATATTCTAATTTTTTGAGTTTCACCTGTATGTGATATTTCTTATGAACATTAAATTACTGGGCTAACAAAGATACAGGAAATAATACTAAGACATAATGTAGTCCTGCCTATCTTCAAGAAGTGTGTTTATTATATTTTTATTCTTGTTTTATATCTTGCTAGAACAATACAATTTTTTTTTCTTTTCAAAAGTAGAAAAGCATGGATTTAAGTTTGGACAAACTCCAAACCAGGGGACATGTACAGTTAATAACATTCATTTCCTTGTGCCATCTGGTGGCTTCAGTTTAAAATTACTGAGTGCATTCAGATTGCTTTATTACTGAAGTTCACTTAAAGTTCACTCTGTGAAATAATGGACTTTGACATTTTTTCTGTATAAAAAAGTCAGATATTTAACTCTAGCATTCTGCTTCTTGTTAGAATGATTAAACACACCTAAAGCCTACAATTCTGTGGGATAAATTGCCTTTAATCATGCCCAGTATAACTTTTTTTTGGGAGTTTGTAACTTGACCTTTTGACAAATTAAGCATTAGTTATCTATATAAATAAAAGCAAAATACCACTCATGCATCATCACAAAATCTCCAGAACCATAAAGCCTACAAATTTGAAATTTTACATGTATGTTCCTCTTGGCTTCTAGGTGCTCACTAAGAAAGAATTTTTTGAAATGACCATCAGAGCATTAATATTTCCTATATTATTATTAACATGCTCTGATGCTAAGGAGTTCTATTCCTCCTCCCCACCTAAAAAGAAATCTATTCCAAATGCAAAACACAATCAGAGGAGAGGAGTTTCAGTTTTAGTTTCACAGCAGCAACTAGCTTTAGTACAGAATAGTTGAGATAAGCCACACCCAGGCTCCTTGCTGTCTCCTTGCTCACACAGCAAATACTGTTTCAGTTTCCAAACAGCCCTCAACTCTCTCACACACTGATAGGATGCCAGCCAGATGAATACTGATGGATGTTTCTAAGCAGAGGCACAATTTTTTCCCCTTATTTTCCTCCCCCAAAACTAAACCCGATCACATAGTTTTGTAGCAAAGCAATGGGTATAGAGGTAGTATGTTATAACACAGAGTCCCTTTGTTAGGGAGATGGATAGTTTAAAAATTAACTAATTAATTAATTGTTTAAGATTATTTTAAATGAAGCCAGGTCTATTAAGATATAATACTCTTAACCCCAGCCTTATAAAAAGATACAATGGAATAAACAAAGCCATAAAATATAGCTGTAGATATGTTTTCTAATAAAGTACAGTTAATAAAAAATGTTTTAAAGCTTTAAAAATGAAATGATTCGGTATGCTTCATCAAAATTACTATATATAAGCTTTTCTGCAGATCAGGAAGGACCAGTGAAAAATGTATAGTTCTGTGATTACTGTTAGTTCATGTATGTGTAACATTAGAGTCATTCTCTCTCCCTCCCTCCCTCCCTCCCTCCTCCTCCTCCCCCCTCTCTCTTACACAGGCACACACACAAAATTAGGTACCAATGTGCATGACTTCGCATTTCTTACATTTACCATTTTGAAGGACTACTCTTTCAATTTGGAGATTGCATAGCTAAAAACTATGCAAGAACAGGAGCTGAGCCTGCTGTGATGCATCCCAAGAGAGCAATTATGGTGTAGGGTTTCAGTGTTTTTACTGTTTTGTGGATTTTATTTATTAATTTATTCTTATTGTGAACCACCCAATATTGCCTAAGATAGGCAGAATTTTAAACCAATTAATTAACATATTAAGGCAATTAATGATCCTTTTCAATATTTTCTTGCTCCAATAATCAGCTTTCAGGCTCAAAGTCTATTAACACACATCTTCTCAGTCCTTAAATGGACAGATTCTTGAGGTACAGAGCAACATTTGGATAAGCTTTCCAACGAACAATCATACCAATACGGAAGCCAATGAGCTTAGTTTTTACTTGTTTTGGTGTATGGAATAGTTAATGCCACATTTGGAAAAGTAATAACACAAAAATCATTTGCTAGATTTTTTTTTACAGTGATTTCTGACATATATCTTTGGATGCTTCATGTCTTGATGGACATCATTTTGCCAAGACTGTCTCTATATAACTTCTTCTGTTTATATAGTTCTTCTCAGCTTATGCTGATGGGACAGTGATAGTATTTAGTCATTTTACCTTCTGTCAGTCTTTGCTTTGATTGCCTTCATGTTTTTTCTGAGCATCAAGGTTTTCTCCAGTGACAATTTTCACATGAAATCTCCAAAATATCTAAGCTTTTTCTGCATATCAATTTTACTTCCTGATTTTCTAATCTTTTGTTCTTGTGATTCAACATTCACATCCATTTTTATGTCACCATAGTTTTTTGCTGTTGTTTACATTTACTTCTTCCTATTATCTATTATCATTCACATCCATGTGTTGCAATGGAGAAAACAACAGCCTTGACAATATTTTACTTTGATAGATTAATAGCTCTGCACTTAAAATCTTTTGTATGGATTTGTCATAGTCTTTTCCCCAAATATCCATCAAAATAGTATCATCAATACATCTTAATTTTTCCCCTTTTGATTCCAATTCACATATGATAAATAGATAGAATTCTTTATTGGCCAAGTATGATTGGACACACAAGGAATTTGTCTTGGTGAATATGCTCTCAGTATACATAAAAGAAAAGATACATTCGTCAAGAGTCAAGAATCATAAGGTACAACACTTAATAATCATAGGGTACAATAAGCAATCAAATCATACTAGGAAGTCAATAAAAATCGTTAGGATACAAGCAGTATCAAGTTACAGTCATATAGTCACACGTGGAAGGGGATTTCTATAGTACATTTCTCAAGTATGATTTACATTTCAGCTAAATAATTTTGAACTAGTTTTTCTGTATTCCATTCCAACATTTCTTCCTGGTCATCATAAAATCTCTACTGTCAAAAGCAAATAGTGTCAGTAAGCAGTACTGTATATTTTATAGCTCCCTACCCTTTGATATACTCATACCTTAGAAAGAGAGTTTTGCACCTGGTATACCAGCAACATTAACAGAGCATCCTATCATTGGGTCAAAAGGCAGGCTTTGCCATTTTAGGAAACCATTTCAGTATGTTAGACTTGAACTTCTAGTTAAATCATCTCAAGGCGGAAATGTAGGTGATAGGAAATGGGGGACTATAAAGCAAAAGAATTCCCATATCTTTTCCATTTCTTTCTTCAAAAAGCAGATGGTAAAATATAATCTGTCATGTAACTTCATTGCATTTCAAGGTTCCTCATTTATTTGAATAATTGAGCAAGGAGCAATTCTGAATATGATTATACCCAACTACAACTTAGACACAAGGATGCTATTTTCAGCAGATGCTACACATCTCATAAAGAGCTGCACTGGGAATGAAAAATATATATATTTCCCATCATGATCAACCATAGAGCAAGAAGCCAAAAACTAGCATCTGGCTTTCACACTTTACTCTCATCCTTCTCCCCTCCCATATGCTGGCTTCCTCACTTTATTCCTAGTTTACATTGAGATAGACATTTCTGTTATTTAAAACTAGGGAGATTTGGTTTGCTCTTGGGTAACTTTGAAGTATAATGTATGAACCTGAAATACGAGTTCCTTCTTTTATATATAACTGTGAGTCTTCACATAACAGAAACCAGGTACAAGAGTGGAAAGAGGAAATAGTATTCATCAAAATCTTGTAGTTCTGGTGATGGTAGAAATCTTAAATTGTTCTGGTTCACCTGAAGATTAAGGAGTTCACCAGGCAAGCTGAGAAAAAGAAACTGCCTGGAGCCCATTTTTTTCTGTGTGTAACTCTGATTAGTAGTTGCTGTTGGGAGATCCAATCTTTCCTCTTCTTGTTTCTAAAATGGGCAGTTTTTTTAGTGTAGCTAAATGCCCACCAGGGATAGAATCTTTCCTTGCCTAGTTGTGAGCAGATTTGCTGTAACTCAAAGTTTAATTCTTAGAGAAGTGAGTTTAACAGGTATGGAGTTTTATTTATTCTGTGGTACAGAAGAAGAGCTACTAAGGCTCTAGAGCAGGGCCGTTAAACTACTGGCACCCAGGCCGGATGCGTCACATGCTGGCCATGTCCTTGACTGGTTTAAAAAGGGTGGGGAAGTCCTGATATGTCACATGATGCTGCCATGATGCCATAGGTTTGACACCCCTGCCCAAGAGGAAGCATTTTAATATAAACCAATAAATCAGGTTGTGTCATTTGTTTTGCAATGGGGATTAGGGTTTTCATTTTAATTTTGGGAGGGAGAAAAAGGCAAGCATTTTTTAAAAAGTAATTCAGTTGTGGGTTTAACATACAAGCTGGTAAAAAAAAGGGCAAGAGACAAGGTTCCTTAATGTAAACCAATCAATTGGCTACCTGAATGGCAAGACGATTAATAGAATTTCTGTTTAAATGAATTTGGTTGAGGAAGAGGAAGAAGGCAACAGAGGCCGCATAGCATAATTCCCTTATTTAATCTGTTGCTGTTGTTTGTAATGTATGTCTAGCCTGTGATGCAAGATATTCATTAAAAGGTTTTCCACAGTAAGAGTTTCCTTCAGTAATTATCTTTGCTACAAGAAACCTACATTAAGAATTTGTGGTACAAAATATATGTGCAGAAGCTTTAATTCACAGATATTAGTTTTTATATAGCACTACATTGTAGTAGCAGTAAGCTATACA